GAATCGAGTTATAAAAAATTCTATCAGACTTTCACTGCGTGACATTTGCTTGATGGACTATATATGCAGATTTTCTGCGACTCACGATCGGCCCGTAATTGGTTTTTACGCAACCAGAAGGACGAATAGTATTTTTACGAGTGTAAACAATATGTAGTTGTTATCATGTTCATTATCGGAGCTCGCGAGCGAACTCAGCAGAGTGTTCATTTGCGTCCGACTTAAAATAGACAATCCAGTCGGCATCAATCATAATTCAGCCGGCCGGGATGTATCTATTGAAATCCCGAGTTAAATACTTTAACCAACTGTTTGTTTAGACAGAAACAACCTTCCCGTTTAAGTCGAATTAGCACGCAATTAATTCAGTCATGCAGTCATTCCTGTTAAAGATGAAGTTAATTTTCAACAGCTGGGACAACAGGTGGTGAATAGTTTTGTTTTTGTTCAATCATTACGTATCCCATTAGACCTTCTTGCTAAAGAGGAAATGATTACAGCCAATAAGGAAAATATATTTGTTCGTTTATAACGTGGTTTCCTACATGCTAAAATCAGTCAAAAATAGCAAGCCACGTCAATTAGAGCTCGACGAACCCTCTTTTTATATACAAAGTATTATTTATAGGTGCATACATAAAGAACATACTTTCTTCACATTCGCACATTTATAATTTTCTGATTTGAACTATCTTGTCTATTATTTATATATAAATATTGTAGTATATTATACAATTATTATTTTTTACAAGTATTATAGTATATCCGTTAGTACCTACCTACTTGCAGGTTTGAACATATTTTTATAAATTAGTGTTATAGGCGAAAGAACCCTTGAAGTAGGTAGTGGACCGCAAACCGCCTGCCGATTCGGTGTCAAACGTAGGTCCTTGTGCTTCCTGCTTTTACACGCTTTTCCCTATGCCCTGTCCTAAAGACTACAGCACTGGTTCCGCTGCCGAACGTACGTCCTACGATCTACGGAGATCCTACGTGCCGTTGACGTGACAGTGACATTATGTTAGTGTAGATAGAGCAAACGCAGGGCCGAAGTGGAAATTGCGACAAAGACATATGTATGAAAGCTGGGTGCCCATTGACTTCTACGAAGCGAGTGGCCAAGTGTGCATACTGGCTACTGTTTGAGTCCAAACACGGACTGCCCGCCATTAGTCATAATACACATTTGTCATCACTTATTATTACCATATTTTACGAATAAAGATACTCTTTATATTTTATATCAATTCGTAATTTTATACCAAAGTTAAAAGAATCTATTTTCTACAGATAAAGACCACCTACAATCGTATAGAAAATTATATAATTAACGTGACGATTGAGGGTAAACGTGGCATGCGATCTTAAACAGTCTCGCTGAAAGCATGAAAGTCATGTCACTCATATCGCACTCACACTGTAATTTGTCAGGCGATGATAATGAAAGAAAACGTCAGTAGCAAGAATTATCAAGGATGCGACACGTCATGTGACGTCCTAATCTATTGTCGCGCGTACGTATGTATGTACATGTGTATGTGTATATGTTATAAATTCTCCGTAGAGGCAGATCATGTGAGTCCTTTCCGCGTGACTCAGTCTCATGTGTTCGGATGTGTTCTCGGGAAATAATCGACATTTTCTCCATTACGGGCACTGTTAATGACACTCTGCGACCAGCAGATATTTTAAATGACTTGCTTCGACTGATCGATGGAAAATTTGTGAACATTTTTCAACAAATACTTAAAACATGATGTATCGATGGAGTTACAGATGTAACTTAGTAAGAATAAATCCAATCGACTAAAGAATAATAAAATCGACAAATCGACAGTTGGGATAAATCAACTGTGGATTTTTATGCAAACTATTAAATGTGCTGAACTTTGAACAATGCATTCAATATGCAAAAATATAGGAACTATCAGAAGTAAAGTAGATTCTATGACAGGCATGGCCAAAGTTGTCGCCGCGCGACACGACCTTGCCCGGGAGCCGGAGTTTCTATGATATTAAATACAGAATAATAATAATAAATGAAGAGCATTCTTTACTCCTGTATTCTAAAGTGGTTCTATGACATTAAGTATGAAATAATAATAAGAAGAATAAATGAAAAGCATATACAAATTGCATGAATTACTGCTGGATCCTGTAATATTAAATATAAAATAAGAAGAAGAATAAATAAGGAGCATGTATATAAATTGGACTCTTTACTCCTATATTTTACATTTTCAATTTTGCATAAAAATTCAGTCTAATTATAAGATAAAACTATTTCGTGCAACACAGTGTAAGGTTTGTGACAGTCATAGTCGCCTCGAGCCAATTATTTATCGGAAACGATAATCATCTCCGAGGAAGCTTGATCTCGGCAAATATTATTCTCACGAGGACAACAGATGGTAGATCGTTCTCTAATCGTGTTAAGAAAACAATATAAGGATCGTGTGCAAAAGCGTGACGCAAATTTTCCACCTGACCACGGAATGCTAATCGACGTATCCTGGTCGATAGAAACAATTTATCTCAGTCGCGTGAACAAACGAAAAAACGAACATCAATGTGAACGTTTGTTCTCTTTTAAAGTCAGTCACCACCACGAATCACCCAATCACCCCACAACCCAATACAGAGCTAGAAAGAATTTTGTACAACAGTTTTTAATACAGATTCCGTGTAAACTTCGATGAAATCTTATTAATAGCGAAATCAATTAATCTGAGAATTGTATCAAGGATTTATTTGAGAAAACAGTTCTCTTAGAATTTGTTACCAATTGCGTTTATCTCATTAAAGCTGTCTTCATCTGTGCATTTTTTCTACTATTACTTGTTGTTCACTTTTCCATTATTATTGTCAGCAGAAGGGAAATTCGTCTCTGTTCTCAGTTTTACGAGTGTTGCAATCGTCCACCAATTGATTTTCTGAGAAATGCCAAGCACAAGAATTTGCTACCAGTTGTTCTTATCTCATCAAAAGTGTTTTCTCCTATTATTTTTATTATTATTGCTACTTTTATGAATATTATAATCGTGTACCAGTTGATTTTCTGACAATGTCGAACACGAGACACGAGATTCGATAAGGAATGACGAGATTCACTTGTGACTTGACGACATGCTCGCATTCCAAATAAGATACGCAAAGTAAATACATAGGTACTATTAGTCAAGAGTCGAATGAGTGTATAGAAATAATGGTACATCTAAATGTTTTCCCAGACCATTTATCGCTTTCATGATGCAATCACTTACTTCAGAACAAATAGAAATAGCTGTAACAATTATAATCAAATGTAATACTTCACACACGTGGGGAAGATAATAAAAATTTTGCTTGCAATTAAAACTGTAATTATTATTGTTATTGAATTTTTTAAGGTCGCCTGAACTACAAG